CTCCTCCGGGCGCAGAAAGGCGCAGGCTCCATCTTGGCCCCGACAAGCCCCCCAAGCGCATCAGACAGGATATCACTCTCCGCAAGGTACCGCAGGTGGTCGAGCTTCAATGCCCTGGCAGGCGGCTGTTCTCTGACAAGGAGCGCGGCGTCCCCTCTCTCGGGCGGGGCAAGTTCATGCAGCTCCAGGTGTCTCACGGCGATACCCCGCCCAAGCTCTTCTGGGACATCCCCGTCCTCAGCAAGCACGGTATGGACGTCGAGGCTCTCCGCACCGCCTGCCGCGACATCACGCACCCCTCAGATCCTTCCCAGTGGTCTCTTGGGCGCTGCTGTCCTACTTGCCCCTCGCCCCAGCTCGGCCGAGAAGCCCACCTTGCGTCTGGCTACGTGGAACGCCAGAACCCCGCTGCAGGCCAGCGGCGACAAGGCCCGCATCAAGAAGGCCTACCTGAGCAGTATCCGCCCAGGCAGCACTATCATAGCTCTCCAGGAGATACATCAGGACCACCACCAGCTGGTCTCGTTCATGGCGACCATCGCGAATGACATCTCCGTCTTGTCCTGTTTCGATCAGGACCCTGTGTCGGGTCATATTCGCGGTGGCGCGGCTATCCTGGTTCCACCACTCGCGGGCTCCAACGGCGTGTTGCCGACTACAGCGCAGAGGGTGCTCATTCCTGGGCGTGCGCACGTAGTCACTATATCCTCATCTTCTCATACTGTCGACATCTTCGACATCCACAATCACGAGCTCTCCCGCGCCGACATCCGCTATACTGTTGAGGCGATCAAGGCCTCACGTCTTCGTGCACAAGAGGACCCAGACATGTATGCCTCCTTCGTGCTGGGGGACTTCAATTTTGCCGTGCACGACGCCCTCGCGCCTGCGCTCCCCGTCGCCGCCATCCGTCGTCGTGACAGGCGGCGCCATGGACAGGGGCCTCGCTGGAGAGAGGCGCCCGCATGCCTCACCGAGACCGCGTGCGAGGACCCCTCGCACTTCGAAAAATCATCAGGCTCGTGCTCATCCATTGATCGTATCGTCTGCTCGCTCTCGGGTTGGCAAATGTGTCAGGTTCACTCGCAGGTCACCACTGTGGGCACGCCTGAGTAGATGTCGGAGCGCAAAGTCTCAGACCATGCTGTTGTTATTCTCACTATGTCCTCTCGTGCTGCCCGCCCTCGCAGCTCCAGGCCCATCCAGAAGCACATAGTTGGAGAACCTCAGTATCGGCGTCGCCTGGAGGGCCTCTGCAGCGCTGTGCTATGGGAATCGTTGTCACCCCCTGTCAAGCTGGAGAAGTACAAAGAGCTCATGAAGATTGCTGCCGCCGAGACCAGGGATACCCTCTTCCCGGGTTGCTTGCCAGGGTTGTTTGGCGCCAGGACCGCTCTCTCGCTGCTCGCCTCCTGGATTTCCACCCGCTCGCGGGAGACATCATCACTATTGCATCGGGGCGAGTCGAGCTTCGCCATCCACCGCCCTTCCAGGCCTGGGTCGACCAGATACACAGCGAGGCAGCCGAGATCGCACGCCAACGTCTTGAGGTTATTCGCCGTCGGGACGGGGATCGCTTCCAGACTCGCTGCCAGCTTCGTGCTCTGGAGCGGCGAGCTCGCCTGCGGTCGCCGCTGAATCGCCGCATCTCGCTGTCTGGGGTCGCCGTGGCCGACGGGAGCGTCGTCTCGGACCCTGCCGATCGTCGCCGTGAGCTCTCTGCATACTGGGCGCCTGCGTTTCGCAAGAAGCCGTGGGATGCTGCGCCGCTGGTGTCTATATTCGTCGCCACCTACCAAGTGCTCATGCTGCGTCGCTGCCGCCGCCGACGAGGGAGATGATTCGACGTGCAATTCGTTCCGCTCGCCATCCGGCCCCTGGCCCAGATGCCCTTCCCTGCGCTGCGTGGGCAGCATCACCTATCAGTACCGACATACTCTGGGAGGCTCTCGAGTGGATCCTCAAGGGCCAGGAGCTCTTCGCCTGTTCGGGGGGCACGATCCAGATCTTTCTTCCGAAGAATGTCGCCGACGCCAAGCTCAGCAACCGAACGTGTGTCCGATCTCCTGACAAGGTTCGGGTCTTGGGGCTACGGAATTGCGACCTCAAGATCATCTCCGCGGTGGTCAACCACGCCACCCGTCCTGCGCTGCAGGCCCTGGCTCTGCCTTGCCAGCGCGGATTTGTTCCCGGTCGGAACTTCGGGGTCAACATCCTCGAGCTAGACGTCTCGAGCAGGATCGTGTCTGTCACGCCCCATGCCTCGCGGGGCATCCCTGTCCTGTTCTCCCTCGATTTCGGCCAGGCCTTCCCCTCCCTCAACCAGGACTTCCAGATGCGTTGCCTCGGCCTCATGGGCCTCCCCGGCCCTCTCGTGCAGTTCGTTGCGCCCATCTACTCGTCGATCGAGGGGGTCGCATTGCGCCAGGGCCAACTCGAGCATGTCTTCTGGATCCAGAGTGGCATTTTCCAGGGCTGTCCCCTCTCAGGCACCCTTTTACGCCCAGGGCGCTTCCGCTTTCCTGGTGGACCTGACCGCGAAGGTTGAAGGCCCCCAGCTGGGCCTTATTCGAGCTTGTGCGGATGATATCGGCGGCGCCCTGAGATCCGTCTAGGCCCTCTCCAAGGTCTCCCGAGTCATGTCCTGTGCTTCTAACTTGGACCTGAAAGTCGCGATGTGCAAGGTTGTTCCCCTCTCGGTGCCCTTCTCCGAGGCGCTGGCACGGGATGTTCGGGGCGCTATCGAGCGTGTGATTCTTGAGTGGGCCGGTTTCGAGATCACCTCGAAGCTCCTGTATCTAGGCCTCTGGCTAGGCCCCGCTGTATCCCCCACTACATCGTGGACAGGACCTCCATCGAAGCTCCGTTTGCGGGCCTAAGCCATCGGACACGGCGCCACTCGCGCCAGCCACTCCGCCATCCTCTAGGACACGCGGGCGTTCACCACGTTATCATACGTCGCGCAGTTCTGCTGGCCCCCGAAGTCCATCCTTCAGCACGAGTTGTCGGTGCTCGCGCAGGTCTTCAGGCTCCCGCTCGGCGCGCTGCACCTCGACGCTTGGCCCCAGCTTGACCGCTGGGGCGGCCCTCGGTGCATTCGCTGGGGTCACCTCACGACTGCCACCATCGCGCGCGCGGCCACGCTCACCTTCCAGGGCTGGCCCCAGCTTCTGGCAGCACTCCGCGCACATGCTGACGAACATCCTGAATGGGCCACTCTCGACATGCTCGCCACGGGCCTCCCCTACCCCAACTTCTCGAAGGCGCCCGCGTTCGTCGAGAACCTCGAGGCCGCTGCCGCTGGTCGCCCCCCGCCTGGCCCGCTGGCCGCGGGCGGACGCGCCCCGCTCGTCGCTGCGATTGGCGCACTGGACGTCGTCGGCCGATCTCGCCCTCGCCCTCAGCGTGCCGCGCATGCTGCACTTCTTGAAGCGTCCCTGGCTGCCCGCCCTCCCCGAGCCCTCTTCGCCCTGCGCCTTGCCGAGATCGCGGGCTAGCGCGCCGAGTCTCTCCGCTGCGTCGACTGGGGCGCCTGCCAATCGGTCCTTCGGCGGCGTCCGTGCTCGTGGGCGTGGGCGGTGATCCGCTCGTGGACTGATGGTTGGATGACATCTGCTCGAATGTTTTCCCCGCATGGGCGACGACCATGCGCATTCGGCTGTCTGAGCAGGGGGGGCTCGCTCAGGCACTACGCGCGTTGCCCTGTCCTCTGGGCGGCCCTCCGTCGATCGCTGGCTCGCCCCTTCGCCCTCGACTTCCCGTCCAGATAGGGGCTGTGCCGCCACTCCTGCCACTCCTACTCGGTGCTCGCGGCCGCCTACAACATGTGCAGCGAGGCTCGCACGATCGACCCGTGGCCGCTCACTCTCGCGGCCGCCCGAAGTTGTGCCTTTTCGGGTGTGGGGGCGATGATGCTTGCTTCGCCGCAGGCTCTTTCGGCGGTGGAGAGGAAGCAGGTTGGCAGCAGGGGCTACCACATTCACTCGTCCTCTCTGAGCTCTTCTGGTGGCTCGGCGACGTCATCCCCGAGGCTCACCCCTGCGGGTTCAAGCACGTGCTCGACCCCGCCTTCATCTCCGCGTTTGCAGCCTCGACGGATCGCCGCGTCCTCTTCGCCGCCCGCCTCTGTGATTGCATCGTCCTCTTCATCATCTCCTGCGGCTTCCGACTCCTCCGATGACGGCGTCTGCGCGCCCCATGCCACCTCGGGTTCGGGCGCCAGCCGGGCATGTACGCCCCCCTCCCGACCGCCGCTCCAATCCCCGAAGGCGGAGGACTTTCTCATCGAGCGCTATGTGCTCCCGATTGTGGCGGCCACGCGCATTTCCCCAACCCCGCAAGTTGCCCGCCCGTCATCCAGAGTCCCGACCACGCCATCCCGACGAGCTTGTGCCCCAGCGACGGCTTCTGCATTGCGCGGTCCTCCGTCTTCGGCGACCCCCTGCTCACCTACCCCGGCGTCCTCGTCACTGCCGCGCCCCCCATCAGCACAGAGGGCGGCCCCATCAGCGTTGGTGACTCCGAGGGCACCGCGATTGGCGCCCACCAGCTCGGCAATTTCGCCGCCGCCACCGATTTCGCGCTGCTCTTGCGTGGCGCTGTCATCGCCAGCGACATTGTCGACTGGGTGTTCCTCGGCCCCGTCGCCCCCCAATGGCGTTAGATCGCAAGCCCCGGTGTCGTGTTCGGGCTCGCCGTCGCCACGCCCTGGATGCCTCGACTTGCCTTCTTTAGGCCTTGGCGTTAGATCGCAAGCCCTGTTGTCGCGTTTGGGCTACGCGTCGCCACGCACTGGGTGCTTCGAAGGAGACCCCCCCCCTCCTGTGGCGTTAGAATGCAAGTCCCGTTGTCGTGTTCGGGCTCGCCGTCGCCACGCGAGTGGCGCCGTGATTCAGGACATCCGCCCTTTGGTTTTAGATCGCAAGTCCCGTTGTCGTGTTCGGGCTCGCCGTCGCCACATGTCGGACGAAACCCTGGAGCGCTGGAATCTCCCCGTCGCTGGGCGCCACCCTCACCGCCGTCTCCGTGGCGACCTTCGGCACAGATGTCGACGGGCCATCCGATGACGCTGTCTGTTCCGATTTCCTCGTCGGCTGCGGTTTCGTGCTCGCCGTCGACCCAGGGGACGGCGCCAACACCAGCTTCAGCGCCCTCGCCTTCTGAGGGTGTGGCCGAAAATGAACCATCTTTTTCTCCGTCCCCCACCTCCTCCTTCGCTCCGTTGAGCTCTGCTCCTGCCGTTGCTTGCCCCCCGCCCGCTCCTCCTCCCACTGCGTCGCATCACCGCCTGTCCCACTCACCAGTGCCCGACTGTAGCATCGTGTCTCCGCCCATCGTTTCCCCCTCCGCTCCGTCCCTCGAGTCCCCCCTGCTGCTGCCCTCTGCTGTCTCGCCTCTCCTTCTCTCCCCCGCGCTCGCCTCGCCGCCGCTCATGTGTCCCGACGCCGCCGCCTCATCTCTGTTCATTTCGTCCAGGTCGGATGGAGGCCCCTCGCCTCTCCCCGCCCCCCAATCTTCTAGCGTGGGCAGCTCGCTCACGTAGTTGCTGACGAACCCCGCCTGGTACGCTGGGTTCCTCCTCTTCCTCTTCCTCTTCCTCCTCTTCCTCCTCCTCCTCCTCCTCCTCCTCTCTCCTCCTCCTCCTCCTCCTCCTCCTCCCCTCCTCCTCCTCCTCCTCCTCCCTCCTCCTCCTCCTCCTCCTCCTCCTCTCCTCCTCCTCCTCCTCCTCCTTTCCTCCTCCTCGTTCCTCCTCCTCCTCCTCCTCCTCCTCCTCCTCCTCCTCCTCCTCCTCCTCCTCCTCCTCCTCTCCTCCCCTCCCCCTCCTCCTCCCCTCCTCCTCCTCCTCCTCCTCCTCCTCCTCCTCCTTCTCCTGCTCCTCCTCCCCCCTCCTCCTCCCCCTCGTCCTCCTCCTCCTCCTCCCTCTCCTCGTCGTCGTCCTCCTCCCCTCCTCCTCCTCCCCTCCTTCCTCCTCCTCCTCCTCCTCTCCTCCCTCCTCCTCCTCCTCTCCTCCCTCCTCCTCCTCCTCCTCTCCTCCTCCTCCTCCTCCTCCTCCTCCTCCTCCTCCTCCTCCCTCCTCCTCCTCCCCCTCCCCCTACACCATCTATGTATCCGGACCCCGTCCAGGAGGCCTCTACAAGAGCTCTGTCCTCTGTCCCTCTCCTCGCCATGTCTCTGTCCCCTCGGCCTGTTCGCTCCGTCGTGTGCCCTCACTGTACCAGAGGGAAGAGAAACACACAAACACACTTAATCTTATGTCGGGCGTGTCCCCCTACAGGGGGATTTTCGAAGAAAAATGAAAAATCCTCAAACATATTCCCAAATGGCCCGAACATTTTCAAAACATAGTCCCCGTACGATGTTTTGACTATGTTTGAACTTTCCCCCTGTAGAGGGACAGGCCCAACTTGAACTGAGTCCTCGCTTTCCATGAAGTATGGAACATCTGGGACGTGAAGGGGCAGACGAACACCCAGGAAACGGGAAGAGCATGGGGGGTCCTGGTATTTGTGCTCGCCCATCTGTGTGTCCCTGGGGCCCTTGCAAGGAGGTCTGGGTCGCAGGCCGCGTCCTCGGCCTCCACCCCCCGCGCTCCGCGCCGTCTCGCGCCCCGGGAGGTCGGAAGGCTGCTCACCTGGGCCCGCTCGCAGTCGGAGGACATCAAGGTCCACCCCAGCGTCGTGGCGCGCGGGCAGTACCTGGCGACCTCGACGGCTGTGCCAGAAGGCGCCCTCCCTCCCCACCCCTGTGAGGAGGGCGAGGAGGAGGAGGAGGAGGAGGGGGAGGAGGAGGAGGAGGAGGAGGAGGAGGAGGCAGACCATTCATTGTCATGTCCCTCCTTCCTCCTCCTTCCCTCTCCCCTCCTCTTTCGCGTGTCTGCCGCTGCCGATGTTTTGTATGTTACACGTATCTCCCACCAGCCGGCGACTCCTGGAGCGAACTTTCCAGGAGCCGCCTGGCTCTTACTTCGATCACCCCCCCAGGGCCGACCAGCTCCGGGGGGGGAGGGCGGCATCTGGCGGATCCTTGCGCCTTCAGCTCGGCAGAAGGAGGAAGAGGAGGAGGAAACGGATGAGGAGGAGGAGGAGGAGGAACCTCAAGGACTGGTTGGGACGAAAGGGGCGGATTGGGAAAGGGTCAGGTCATGTCAGAAGCCGTGCATCTGTGAGACGCGTTGGCAGAAGCGGAGGGATCATTATGGACCCATGCTGGATGGAGTGCCTGCTCGTGGGTACGAAAAAGCCTCCATGAGGCAGGGAGCGTGCGAAGCAGAAACAAACGCGACGCACCACGAGCGGAACAAGCGTGAAAACGTGCGGTGTCTCAATGCCCAGAGCGGGACACGCGTGAAAACACGAGGGCTTCTAACGCTCCAAAGTGGGACAAGCGTGAAAACACTTGGGTTCCTAACTCCCCAGAGCGGGACAAGCGTGAACACATGTGGGCTTTCAATGCTCCAGGGCGGGACAAGCGTGAAAACACATGGGTTCCTGACGCCCCCGAGCGGGACAAGTTTGAAAACAGTTGATGTTTCTTAGCGCCCCAGAGCGGGTCAAGCGTGAAAATACGTGGGCTGCTGACGCCCCAGGGCGGGAAACGGGTGAAAACACGTGGGTTCCTAACGCGTCAGGGCGGGGCAAGCGTGGAAACACTTGGGCTCCTAACGCCACAGAGCGGGGCACGCGTGCAAAACACATGGCTCCAGAGCGGGACAAGCGTGAAAGCATTTGGATTCTAGAGCTGGGCAAGTTTGAAAACAAGTGGGGCTTTGACGCGCCAGGGCGGGAAAAGCGTGAAAAGCTTTTGGGCTTCCAACGCCCCAGAGCGGGACAAGCGTGAAAGCACATGGGTTCCTAACGTCCCACAGTGGGACACGTGTGAAAACATGTGGGTTCCTAACGCCCAAGGGCGGGACAAGCGTGAACACATTTGAACGGCAAGCGTGAAACCAAATGGGTTCCTAACGCCGCAGAGCGGGGCAGGCGTGAAAACAGTGGGGTCCTTGACGCCCCAGAGCGGGACCAGCGTGAACACACGTTGGTCCCTAACGCTTCAGAGCGGGATACGAGTGAAACACGTTGGTTCCTAACGCCCCAAAGCGGGCCAGCGTGAAGCAATATGGTTCCTAACGCCCCAGAGCGGGGCAAGCGTGAACACATGTGCGTTCCTACCGCTCCCGAGCGGCACGTGGCGTGAAAAACACCCAGGGCGGGACACTCGTGAACAAAGTTGGGCCCCTAACGACCCAGAGCTAGAACGGTTTTAAAAACATGTCGGTTCCTGACGCCATCGAGCGGGGCAAGCGCGAACACACATATGTTCCTAACAGCGCACGTCAAAACACATTGGTTCCTACTGCCGACGAGCGGGACAAGCGTGAACACATGTGGGTCCCTACCGCACCCAAGCGGAATCATCATGAACACTTCTTGGTCATTAGCGCAACCGAGCGGGATATGCGTCAACACATGTGGGTCTCTACTTAACGCCACAGAGCGGGACAAGCGTGAACACACTTGGGCTCCTAACGCCCCAGAGCAGGACAAGCGTGAAACACGCACATGGGTATCTCACGTCCCAGAGCGGTATCTGACGTCCCAGTGGGTTCCTAACGCTCCCGAGCGGGACAAGCGTGACCAGAAGTTGATTCTTGGCGTTCTAGAGCACGGCATGCGTGAAAACACGTTGGTCCCGAACGCCTCAGAGCGGGACACGAGTGAACATAAGTTGGCTCTTAACGCTCCAAAGCGGGACAGGCGTGACCACACGTGGGTTCCTGACGCCCCAGAGCGGGACAACCGTAGACACACGCGGGTTATTGAACACACGCGGGTTCCTAACGCCCCCGAGCGGGACAGACGTGAAACCATGTGGGTTCCGTGGCGCGCCCCAGGGCGGGACACGAGTGCAGACACGTGGGTGCCGAACAGCGCCAGCGAACACACGTGGGTTCCTAGCGCACCCGAGCGGCACAAGCGTTAGAGTATGTGGGTTCCTAGCGCCTCCGAGCGGGAAAAGCATGTCAACACGTGTGTTCTAAACGCCCCCCCCGGCCAGCGTCAACAGACATGGCGCCCAACGCCCCAGGGCGGGAAAAGCGTGACAACACGTGGGTTCCCAGACGCGCGAATGGACGCATGGGGGCTCTTAACGCCCCCGAGCGGGACAAGCGTGAACACACGCGGGTCCTTGACGCCCCAGCGCGGGACACGCGTGAAGACGCGCGTGTTCCCAACGGTGCAGGTAAACTTAGTTTGGGTCTCCATGCCCCCGAGCGGGACAAGCGTGAAAACACGTGGACCCCTAACGCCCCAGAGCGGGACAAGCGTGAAAACACGTGGGTTCCCAACAGCGCGAATGGAAATTCCTGGGGTCCTGACGCCCCCGAGGAGACAAGCGGACAGCATTTGGGCTCCTAACGCCCCAGAGCAGGACTAGCATGAAAACAGGTGGGTCCCTAGCGCCCCCGAGCGGGACAAGGGTGAAAACACGTGGGTTATAAACAGCGCAAATCGACATACGTGGGTTCCTGACGCTCCCAAGCGGGACACGCGTGAAAACACGCGGGTTCCTAGCAGGCGCAGGTTCGTAGCAGCGCAACTGGGGATGCGTGGGCTCCTCATGCCCCCGAGCGGGACAAGCGGCAGGCGTGAACAGACATGGGCTCTTGGCGCCCCAGATCGGTCTCCGTGCCGTTTTCTTTGCCCAGTCCGTGGCGCGCCCCTTGCCACCGCGTCCCTTGAAAAGTCCCCTGGCGCACCCCCCAGTGCGACTCTGGCACATGCCGCTTTCGCGTCCGTGCGCCCTGGCGCCCCGTGTGGTCTCGTCCCGCTTCAGGGCTGAGTCGGATCTTGAGCTCGAGCTGATTGAGCGTCCAGCACGTTTCGACTGCAACCAGTGCTGGGCAAGCTCTTCGTTCAGGCAGTTCGAGCTTGAGATCCAGATCAGTTCGGTCATGATTGGCGACGTGATCCACACCATCATAGAGCACACCGCAATTCATCGCGGCATGACGCATCTCAGTTCAGCACGGCACAGCACAGCACCATCTCTGGCACGGTACATCACGTTCGCTACTTTCATCTTTGCCGCCCAATCAGGCGTTGTGAAAACGTAACCATGCCTCGCGTGTCTACATCCCGGTCTTGGTTCGTCGGTCAATCCTGTTAAGTATCCCAGAGGCCCGTTCTGGGACTCCGCAGGGCCGCCGAAGATGGCTGGTCTGGGGTGACAGAGCGGACCAGGGTGATGGGTCCACAGACCGATGTTGACCGATGTTGGCCGACGCGACCGTCTTTACCAATGTTGACCTACGGTCCAGGACGTTTGCTTAGCATGTCGCGTCGCCAGTTATGGTCCACCACGCCTCGGCTCGACACGCCAACCACGTCCGGGTCTCAAAGCGTCAACGTCCCGAGCTTGCCCTATTTTCCCGCCACGCGGAGCGGAGCGGAGCTTTTCCCAGCCTCCTGCCAGGGACTGAGCGCATCCCCCCCTCTTCGTCCGACCCGGTCCTCCTCCTCCCGTCCTCGCAATCCGTGCTTCGCTGCGGATCGTGAGCGCGCTTCGCCGCCGCCGCTGTCGTCGGAGTCGTCGTAGTGGTTGTGCGTGTTGCTCTGCTCGGGACCCGCTGCCGCTTCTCTTAGCGCAGTGACCACCACGACAATCCCGATGTTGACCCATGTTGACCGATTGGACCGATGTTCGCCGATGTTGACCTGTACTCAGCCACGCGCAGAGGTGGGTAGGGGGAGGGGGGAAGGCTTCTCAAGATCACCCCTGCTTCTCAGAAGGCACGCGCCTTGTCTATAGATGTAAGGCCCATGCCCTTCTAAGAAGCAGCCTCCTTCGAAGAAGCCTTCCCTCCCCTCCCCTTGCCCACGTCTGCGCGCCTCCAATACACCTCCCACTCCTCCTCCTCCTCCTCCTCCTCTCCTCCTCCTCCTTATCCTCCTCCTCCTCCTCCTCCTCCTCCTCCTCCTCCTTCCTCCTCCTCGTCCTCCTCCTCCTCCTCCTCCTCCTCCTCCTTCTCCTCCTCCTCCTCCCCCCGTCGTCACGAAGGCCCGCCTCGACGGGGGCTTCTCTGAGCACGCAGGGCATCCGCGAGATGGCTGCAGCCATGGGCCGAAGCAGTCATCCTTCTTCGTTCTCGCCTGCTGCAGTTTTCGCAGTCCTGGTCAGCATGGTCGCCTGGATCGTCGCTTGATAGGCTCGCTCGCCAGGGGCAGCCCCCCCCTCTTCTTCCGACCTGGTCCTCCTCCTCCTCCTCCTCCTCCTCCTCCTCCTCCTCCTCCTCCTCCTCCCTGCAGAAATATGCGATCGGGGCTCTCCACATGAGGGTTTCGAATGGGTCGCGGGGTCAAGGGGACACAACAGCAGCAACATTGTGGAAAGCCCAGGTCGGTGGAAGCATCGCCCCACCCTCTCTTTGAACTGCTGGTTCGTCTACCCCCTGCTCCCGAACTTCCTCCGTTCCTGCACTCCTGCACTCCTCGCCCGCATGCCGCAGACGTCATCCTGCCCTCTCCTCCTCCGGTTCTGCGTCACGCAGCCTGCGCGCCGTGGCCCTCATCGCTCATTCCCCCCCTTCTCGTGCCTCCGACGGCGGGCCGCTGGAGTGGAGAGGGCGCGACACCCGATAGATCACTCTGCTCCTCCTCCTCCTCCTCCTCCTCCTCCTCCTCCTATTCCCCCTCCTCCTCCTCCTCCTCCTCCTCCTCCTCCTCCTCCTTCCCTCCTCCTCCTCCTCCTCCTCCTCCTCCTCCTCCTCCTCCTCTTCCCCGTCCTCCTCCTCCTCCGCCTCCTCCTCCTCCTCCTGGAACAGTCGAACGAAGCCTTCTGCACAGCGCCGTGCTCCGATGCCTGCCGCGGTCTGGCGGGGCCTCCCTACAGTGGGGGCGCGTGCCAAGAGACCAGTTGGATGTTGGCAGGGTGCCCTTGGTTTCTTGGACTTCGATGAGTCCCCAATAAGATCTCCCTTGTTTTGCGATGGGCAAGTTTGGACTTCCATTGCACAAATTGCGGATTTCAGGGTTGAGTTTCTTGCGGAGGTTTCTTGTGGCCGAGCCCCCACTGTAGGCTGGTGAGCCAGATGGCACCTGGTGAGGCTGGTGGGGAGGGCACGAGTCCTGGCAAACGGCACCGTGCTCCGGAAGGGCCTCCCTGCCATGGAGGGGCGGGAGGGGCACGACTTTTCTGATAGATCATGGAGCATTCCGATGCTCTCTCTGCCTGCTGAGAAATTGGGTCTTCCGGTGCCCTGCGCGGTCTGGCGAGGCCTCCATGGAAGGACAGGAGTGGCGGGGGATCGGTGGGAGAGGCGTCAAGCCTGATTCCTAATCTGGTATTCTAACACCCTGCCGCGGTCTTGCAGAGCCTCTCTGGAGGGTGGGATGGGCACGGAGCTCGATGCAGAATGCTGTGATCCGATACCCTGCCGCGGTCTTGCGGGGCCTTCTTGGAAGGGCGGGAGAGGCACGAAACCGTCCTTATAAATGGTATGATCTTTTGACACCCTGCCGCGATATGGCCGGGGGAGGATGATGATCGAGGAAAGGGGCTGGTGGGGTGGGAAGATATGATAAAGGAGGAGGATGTGGAGGAACAGCACTGGTGGAGTGGGAAGGGCATGATGACGGAGGAGGAGGAGGAGGAGGAGGAGGAGGAAGAGGAGGAACGTGAAGGAGAAGCACCGGTGGAGCTTGCGAGAGAAGGGGACGTGAAGCTTGCGTGAGGAGGAGGAGGAGGAGGAGGAGGAGGAGGAGGAGGAGAAGGAAGAGGAGGAGCAGGGGGGAAGACAAGACCCCCACGCAGCACGCGGGGACCAGTCCGTGCCGAGGTGCGGATCGGTGGCACGCCTCGCCGCCGCCGCCGCCGCCAGAGCCGCATCTCTGGCCGTGCGGCCGCGGGGTTCTCCGCCTGCCGCTCGCCTCCTCCCCGCGGCGGAGGCACGCCGCTGATCGGCGTGAGGTCCGGGGCGTTCCTGGGCGAGGTGCCCCGGCGAGCGGCCAGCGCCGCCGGGGGCGCTCAGGCCGCCGCCGGCGATCGGCATATCGGCGGCGACGGGGGCGAATAGAGCCCAGGGGCGGGCAGTATACACGCATTCGTCCAGGAGCCTCGCCGGAGGCATGGGCCATCGACGCCCCTGGGCAGTTACATTGTACTGCTCTCCCCTGGGCAGTTCGCCCCCATCGTCGCCCCCGACAGCATCGCTTGACCGATCCCCATCCCAACCCCCATCCCGATTACCACCACCCCGCAACCCCATTTGGGGATCTACCCCTTAGAGCTAAGTCGGGCCTGTCCATCTACAGGAGGAGTATTCAAAAATAGTAAAACAAATACTCTGGGGACGATGTTTTGAGTATTGTTTGACCATCTTGGGACTGTTGTTGTTTGGGTTTTTTTAATAACTACAGAATCCACCTGTAGGGGGACATGCCCGACCTAAGGGGATATACTCCTTAGATCCCGCAGGGAGCAGCCCATGTCCCCATCGAGGGAGGTGAGTCGGCCAGCGGGGCCCAGGACACGCCGGTGGGGATGGGGATCGGTTAGATGATGCTCAGGCGAGGGAGGGGGAGGAGGACCCAGGCCCCCTCGAGACATGAACAAAATCACGGCGGGAGGTTTGTCCTTGTGGCGACGGCCTTGCGGCCGGCGCCGCCGACCCTGAAGGCGGAACCTCCCCCGGGACCCCAGCTGGCGATCCCCCCCGTGACCCCGGGGGGGGCCGCATTCTGACCCGGGACCCCCTCCCCCAAGGACCCGCCCCTGGCAGGGAAGGGATGAAGGGAAGGGGCGACGTTCTTTTTCCATGTTCCGTTTCTGGGACTGACGACGACGACGATGACGACGACGACGGCGGCAGCGTTTTCCACACTTGGAAGGGTCGGCTGATCTTCACCCTCTGGGGGCCCTCACTGGGCCTCGAGATCGTCAAAAACCGATTTGGGATAAAAATTTGGTCCCAGGGAATGCGTCGAGACCTCCAGGGATCGACCCTATGAGAAAGCCGTGACGCAGGGGGTCTGCGGACCCAGGTTCAGGGGAGGATGAGCCCCAGCAGAGCACCCTGTAATGGCAGCAAGGCTGGACAGGCGGGTCGAGGAGGCAGGAGCGAGGCTGGATGGGCGGGCGGAGCAGCGAGAGCACGGCCATGTGCAACCTCCTCTTTAGCTTCCACCAGGGCTCGTGGTCGTCTGGACCACAAGTGCAGCCGGCAGCATTGTGACGAAGTCTCAGGCCAAACGGCTGCCCGACCAGGCGATCTGGGGCGGCGGTCCTGGTCTACCCGGTCCCCCTTGTGGGAACCTGTTGTGTTTGAACGCAACTATTTCCTCCAAGTTTGTGTTCGCCCCGAGTCGAATGCCGGCGATTGCAATGCAAAGCTCTACGACAGGCTCGATGATGCAGGCTTCATTGTGGGCCCTCATTTCTGCAGGCACCCTGGCCACAGCTCTAAGGCAGATGCCAATAGACACTCGCTCGTTAAAGTGTGATCACAATTGTCGATGTGCCTCGCCAGTGCCTTCTCCAGTCGTCACAAGAGCAGTTGACCACGAGCTATAACGTGGGCTGCCGGGCAGGGAGGCACGTGGACTGGCGCACGCATTCCCAGATAGATGATGTGGTTTGCGAGCAGTCACGGGATCATAATGTTACCAGTGTGTCTGTGTTGGTGGACATTTCGGTGTCCTCGCACCGCTTCTTGATGAAGGCCGGCGTCCAAATGAATGCTCACAAGGCTTTGGCAGACGAGCCCAAACGCCAGCTTGATGTGAGTCAACTTCGGGACTACGCTTCGCAGCAGCGTTTGGCTGACGTGCTCGTTGGCTCCTTGGACAGCTTCCAGGAGGCGGTGCCCAGCAGTAGTCATGTGAATCTGACACGGTGCCAACTTGTCGATGGGTTCTGAAATGCGTTTGGCGTCGCTTTGCTGGTGCAGCCTAACAGGCCTTGGAAACCATGGATCCGACCTCGCACGCTCGAGTCATCGAGCGGCGCTCTACGACAAGGAGACAAGGGAGAACAGAAGAAGAACGAGTGCCTGCGAACAATATCAAGTCGGAAGGATAGGGCGGCCTGGGTGGATGAGTTGACAGCCGACGGAGACGGGCCAAATACGGAAGCGCAGAAAGAAAACGACTCTTTTCGAAGTTCCAGAGCGGAGATGGTGGACAGCGGTTGCCGGGTCGACATTCTTGCTGAGCACTTGGAGCGGGTGCAATGGGCAGTGCGGCCGACGAGCGCCGTGCCGACAGACGCCATCTACGAGACCGAATAAGACGTAAATCTTGGTGCCATCACGGAAGACGAGCTACATCGTGCAACCCAGAATTTTTAAGCCAGAAGAAGCTGGAGGGCTCGACGACTTGCCACCAGAGTTTTGGAGGACAGCCACGGAGGATTGCTCTGCTGAGCTTTCTTGGGTTGCGCGTTTCTGCAACACCGTTTGGGAGAGTGGGCAAGTGCCCCATGACTGGCACGGGCCGCGAGCGCGGAGGATTCTAAACCCGCAGAATGTGGTGGGCATCGGCCAAGCAGCTTATCGACCAATGGCTACAGTATGCCTGCAACTGTTTTTGCTGCACGCTGGCTGCAGCAGGCGGTGGCCGAGGACAGAATCTGGGCGACACAATTTGGCTGTCGATCCAGGGCCCCAAGCCTACAGGGTCCTATATCAGGAGGGAAAGAAACACACAGACACAATGAATCGGTGATTCCCCAGAAAATATGGGAAAATATGGGAGGTGGGGGGGAAGACAAAAACCCAGAAAATATGGGAACATATGGTGAATCTTTTTATTTGTGTGTATTTATTTGTGTGTCCTGGGGCCCCTTTATTATAGAGGATGCGCGAAGCGTCCCAGGCGGCAGAGTTTGCTTCTTGGCGCTGGCTTGGGCCAAAGCTGTCGCTTCGGCGTCGCCCGCTGCTTTGGCGCCCGCTCTGCGCAGATTCGGCTGCCCGCGTCTTTCGCGCAGATGGCTTCAGCAATGTACGGCAGACGGGCGTTCATCGTGTTGGATGTTGGATCCCACTCTCACGAGCGACCTCAACGCGATGGAAGATGTCAGGGATGCCATCTGTCATCGCCCCTGCTTGCCGTCGCGATGACGAAGTTGTTGGCTCACCGGCGCATGGGCCCGCAGACAGCAACGCATTGGGTACGGCACTTGGCATCTGCGGACCACACTCTTGGTTGGCAGCGATCTCTCGGTGGGACTGGAGCTACTGAAGTGTATCGAGGGGTGCGGATCTCACTGCGGCCTGAGCTTGAATTAGGGTCGAGTCGAACTCATGGAAGTCAGGGCAAACAGCGACATTACAAAGCCAGGGTGGCGGTCGCAAGCAAAAGCTACATCGGAGATTGCGAAGGCCTTACGGCCGATGCCACCGACCCTGGAGACAGCGTTCTGTCACTGGGGAGAAATAACAGCGTTCCGTCTGTGTGGTGTGGGGTGGTGTTCTGTCGGCGGCTTCCTAGTTTGTTTTGTAGCTTCCTAGGAGCTTTTTGGGGGCCTCTCGGGGGCCTCTTGGGGCCTCTTTGGGCTTCCTGGGGGGCCTTTTGGGAGCTTCTCGGGGCTGAGGGCTCGAAATGTCCGTTCGGTTCCCCCGTCTGGGCACTCTCTTGGAACCGTTTTGGGGGCCTTCTGTGCATCTGGGAGGCGTCTTGGGCCGTCTTTTGGGCCGTTTGGGGACCCTCTTGGAGGCCTCTTGGGCCGTGTCGGGGCGATCTTGGGAGCCTCTTGGGCCGTCTTGGCGCGTGGGGAAGCGGGAGAGGCGAGAACGCCAAAATCCTTGAAAAACGCATGGGAAATCCATGATTTGTGCCTTTTGGGGCTCTCGTGGGAACGGTCCTGGAGGCCTCTTGGGGCGTTTCGCAGGCTTCTTGGGCCGTCTGGAGGCCGTCAAGGCGTCTTTGACAGATCATTCGGCGATTCGGGGCCCTCTTGGATCCTCTTGGGGGCCTCTTGGGGCAGTCTTGGCCAGTCTTGGGGCCTTTTTGGGCTCCGGGATTCCCCGGGAGGGCAGCGCATAAACCCTGGGACCCCCCCCGGGAGCTACCCCGGGACCCCCCACCCCTTCCCCGGGACGGGATCAAAGGGAAGGGGCTTCCCTTCGACTCAAGTACGACGGCCTTGGGAGAGGGGTGGAAGCAACGACGCTGTAGGAAAAGAAGAAGGAACATCGACGACGACGAAGAGGGAGCAGACGGAGAAGCCTCTTCCACACGCCGACAGGGTCGGCGGATTTGGGCACGTCGTTGTCGACACATTGGCGGGCTGGATCTGAACGAACCCGCTGACTATGAGCAGCAATGTTTCTAAACTATAAAGCGTGTCGTTTGCTGCATGCTTAAATAGTGCGGGACGGCAGAGGTTGCATGCCTTCCAGAGTAATTGTCTCTGGAGAATATGCAGAATTCCCCAGACGTATTTTGTAGGGTGTGATCCAGTTGGACGTTCGGTGTTTGAACAGGGGGCTTTGGATGTGCGAAGCCTGCCGGAGCGATGAGGCGAGGCCTCACCAAATGTTGGGGGCCTTGCGTGGAAGAGCGCGCTGGTGCTAGCTGGCTCCCATGCGCGAGTCGCTGACTAGTTAATCCCGCCAAGACGGCGCTGCAGCTCGCGAGCGGCAGCGTGTAGTCAAGTCCCTGCTGGAGCACATGGCCTCCGACGGGCCATCGAAACCATATACAAAAAAGCTGTGCCCGGAGCGCGCGCGCTGGAGGGCCGCACCTGCCCCGCGCCGCCTCCTTCTGGTGCCATGCTGTCGACGAGCACCACTGGACCCCTGGGGCTCTCATGAAGCTCAGGAGAGGAAAAAACACACAGACACAATTAATCGTCGACTCCCCAGAAAATATGGGAAAATATGGGAAGTGGGGAGAAGACAAAAACTTTAAACATATGGTAAAATATGGGGAATCTTTTTATTTGTGTGTATTTATTTGTGTGTCCTGGGGCCCCTTCAGAAGCGGGCCCCAGATGCGGATGGGCCAGGGGAGGAGGGCCACGCCCCGTTCCCCCCCGATCGGGCTCGGGGAACATCCGCTGCAGGACAGGGGGCCGCTGCCAGCACCAGGCGAGGGCCTCTTCGCGGGCCGCCGAGAGAGAGTCAGTAGCTTCCCGACCGTAGCGAGGACGGACGGGCTCGAGAGCGAAAGGGCTCCAAATCGTCAGAGCCCCTACCCGTGGCAGCTCTTGCTCCGCTCAGAGAAACACTTCGGCCATGTATCGGCAGGGGTCCCCAATCCGCCTTGTCAGCAGCAACTTGGTAGCTTTCCGAAGCGCAGCAAATCGCTCGAGGTCGGCCACTCCTGTCCAACGAGGCTGCCTCAAGGTCCGTTTCTTCTGCATGAGGCTGGCCAGGCCGGAGCTGACCGAGTGCGAAGTGTCCACTTCCATCATTGGTTGCTCTCTCTTTCTCGTGCCCAGCGGATGACGAATGACGCAGACTGTGAGGTACTGCGCATGACCCAGGAGGTGAATTGTGTGAGTTGGTGGCGCGCCTGCAGCCTCTCGACCTTGTCCGCACCAGGTCGATCGCCACGCTGATGTCCTCGAGCTGCTTCCTGGTCCAGGTGGCCGTGTCTAGGAGAGCTTGTTGCCACTGATTTCTCACCGCCTCGCCTGCGATCCGCAGAGCTGAGGCGCCTCGTGGGATGTCAGTGGTAATTTCGGTGTCACCCCAGCATACTTCTACTGTATGTGCGTCGCCTCGCCGGGGGCGATGGGAGCACCGAGAAGTCTTCTAGTATATGCGTCGTGGCGGGCTCTTTCTGTCCACTCCGTTCGGCAAACGATATACTACAATATGGGTGTACGATATGTTGGGTCGGACGCGCGCCCCAAAGAGAACGTATAGTACTAGTATGTTTTTGCGCGTCCCATAAATGGTCTTGAGGAGCCGCAGCGCCTCGCGTCCAGTCTCTGTGCGGCGCCGCTGCCTTTCGTGGCCTTTGGCCGCGCTGTCAACGCATGCCGAGGCTGTAGTCCACCAGCCCGCGGTGGCATCAATCTCGTGGACGCTGGAGGGAGGTGTTCGAAGTCGTTGGAGCTTCGGTGCCCTCGGCAAGCCCCTGCCGGACCATCGGCTGGCTGGGGAACCCGTTGACCCCCACCATGCATGCACTGCGCGAGGCGCGAGGCCCAGCGGCCGTAGAGGCTGGCCAGGTTGAGGTTCTCCTCGGAGGCGCCTTGGAAGCTGATGGGCTCGAGGATGCCGCTGGGTGGCTTCGTCCATCCTGGCCCCTCGATTGGCGGCGTCTGGTTCACCGTCTCGCTGGTGTCGTCGTTGCCCTCCCTTTCCCCGCGGGGGTGAGCACAGGGCCGCCACTCCCTGGGCGCGAGGTGCGTACGGTGGCTCCGTGGAGGCGCCTGGCCCTCTCGATGGTGGCATCCGCCTCGAGGCGAAGCGCCCGACTTGGTGGAGGCGCTGGACCTTGCCCCTCGCCAGTGGGTCGCCGATGCCATCGCCGTCTCCACCAGGCACGGGAGCAGCAGCAGACCCATCCAGGCTTATGATGTTCCAACCTACTTTAGCCGTGATCACCAGACAGAATTTCGAGCACCAGCAAAGTACCCAAAAACTCTAGGGTTTTCACGTGCCTGCCCCTGGGACGCACTCGTTCGACACTGTTTCGACACTGGTTCGACACTTGTCCGGGTGCTCGAACTTCTGGCTGGGATGTGGTCCTTAAGTACGATGGGGGCAACCTAAGTCCAGGCCCCCGGGCCGCGTGGGGCCCAGTGCCGCCCCGAGCCCTGCCAGGTGGGGCCCCCTGGGCGGTGGGGCTCGGGGCCCGCTGCCGCTGCGGCCGGCGCCGCTGCCGGTGCGCCCGCCCCGGGTCGCGCGCCGTCAGTGCCGGCGGCGCCGGCGTTGGTGGCTTCGTCGGCGCCCGTGCGCCTCCGCTTCGCCTGCAGACAGGCACGGCACTGCTGGTGCTCCTCGCGGATGTTGGAGAGGTTCCCCGCGGGCTCGCCGAAGGTCTCCTGCACCCTGGTGCGCAGCTCGTCGGCGAACTGCTGGAGGGCCTCCAGCTGGTCGATGTCGGACTGATCGACCTGCAGCCCCGTCGTGTCTACAGCGGAGCCCGCCGCGAAGTCCAGGGCTCCACTGGCCTCAAGGGGGGTCGTGAGGTTGAAAGCCGCTGCAGGAGGAGGAGGAGGAGGAGGAGGAGGAGGAGAAGGAGGACTCGCATTTCTTCTTCCCCCCTCTTCCCCTCTATCCCTCCTTCCTCATCCTCCCTCTTCCTCCTCCGAACCTTCCTCTCCCTCCCCTATCTTCGAACATTTCAGGAGCTCTGCCGTGCCCCTGAGCATCTCCGAGCAGCAGCGGCGGAGAGTCGCTTCTGGTTGCCCCAGGGCCTCGGGTCCCGTCGAGGGCCTCAGGGCCCCAAGAAGCGGCGAGCCCGGTTCCCTGCTGAGACCCGACGCCGCGAGGCAGAGTGCAGCATCGTGAGAAGCCACGACCAGAGCCTCGGGGCCCCGGCTTCCTGCGGCACGGCTCGAGCAGGATCGATCTGCGAGTGCCTTGGGGCCCCCATCGGGGCGAGCACGCCCGTTTGTGCAGGGAGTACGCCGCCAGGGGCTCAGCGTTGGCACAAGAAGAACAGTAAGGACCAGTGGTTTCGGTGTACACACTGTGCATTTCTGAGTATTCGAAAGTTCTTTGTTTTTTGGGGGCCACGATCCTTTTTACTTCTAGTTGTTCCATCCTGGGCCTCTTCCTGGCAGCCGGGGGGCCAGGAACAATTAGAAACGAGCACAATTAGAAATGAGCACGATTAGACATGAACGACGTGTACTTTCCCACGTGCGGGGCCGGCATGCGATCCACTCCTTTCCACAGTTATTCATGCTAAGGCCGCTGGTCCAGGCGTGTTCGAAGTGTGGCGCGCCCCATTTTGCTTTTCACCGAGGCTCGCTCGGCTGGCCTCGAGTGAGACCGTCATCTGTGGATGGCCTCCATGCCGCGTGTTACTATGATGTACGGTGTGCTGATGCCTTCAGTGCGATCGCTCTCTTCGCAGCTTAGCGACGCAAATCACCGGGATCGTTTGTGCCGACATCGGCGCGTAAGCCACCCGCGTAAGGCCGCGCGTAAGCGCCCTCGTCTCCCATGTAGCGTGCCGCGCCGGCGGCCCGCGTAAGCCGCAGCGTAAGGTCGCTATGGAATCTCGGGTAAGACCCTTTTTTCTCGTCGCTCAGCTGATGCTCGGCGGCGAGCGAGGAGAGGAAATGAAAGGAGAAAGCCTTCTCAGATGGCGGCGGGACTTCTCAGAAGCCCTCGCGCATTCCGAGAGGTCCCCTGCGTCTTCGGGGAAGGCTTAGGAAACTTCCCAGAATGCCAGGGGACTTCCGAGATGGTCCGCCCCTTCTCACTTCCCCCGGGCGCGCCGCCGAATGTTATCTTCGGGGCTCAAGGGACGGGGGTCCATGCAAACGAGGGTCAGTCAGAGCGCCGGATCTCGCAGGATCCTGCGGAGCCAGGGTTGCATCGACCCGGGATGGGGTGCAGGTTCTTGCAGGAGGCTGCAGGATCCTGCCGGATCCTGCAGGATCCTGACTGACCCCGGTTTGGATTGACCCCGGTCAGAAGATCCCCGACATCTCGCGCAAGACCTGTTTTCCCCAACCATCCTGTGGTGCTGGGTCCTCGTTTTGAAGAGACGGTGCCCCGCGTCTCTCCTCCTTCCTTCCCTTCTTCCTCCCCCTCCTCCCTCCTCCCTTTTCCCTCCTCCCTCCTCCTCCCTCCTCCCTCCTCCCCCTCTTTGCCTTTGATCGTCGCTCCGCGGATGCTGCTCGGACTGGTGGAGTGCCGCTGTCAGGCCGTGGTCGAGGTGGGCGCGGACGGCTCGGCGGTGGACGCCGCCGAGGCCGGCGCGCTGCCAGCCCTCCACAGGAAGACACACAGATACGAATCGTCGTCGATGCCTCGTCAGATCTAGGAAGATCTCGGAAGTGGGGGAGAAGACGAGTATCTGGGTAAACACACACGCACGCACACACACACACACGCACACGCACACGCACACGCACACGCACACGCACACGCACACGCACACGCACACGCACACGCACACGCACACGCACACGCACACGCACACGCACACGCACACGCACACGCACACGCACACGCACACGCACACGCACACGCACACGCACACGCACACACGCACACGCACACGCGCACACGCGCACACGCGCACACGCGCACACGCGCACACGCGCACACGCGCACACGCGCGCACACGCGCACACGCGCACACGCGCACACGCGCACGCGCGCACGCGCGCACACGCGCGACGCGCGCACACGCGCACACGCGCACACGCGCACACGCGCACACGCACACGCGCGCACACGCGCACACGCGCACACGCGCACACGCGCACACGCGCACACGCGCACACGCGCACACGCGCACACACGCACACACGCACACACGCACACACGCACACACGCACACACGCACACACGCACGCACGCACGCACGCACGCACGCACGCACGCACGCACGCACACACAATACCGTAGTACCCCGCAGTTGCGGATAAGAGTGAGGGGGCGGTGAGGACGTCGTCAGTCTGCCAGGCTCTGAAGAAGCCCGCCGCAGGCGCCTAACTTGAACAAATTATGCAGTGAGCCCGCCGCAGGCGTCGATTTCTTCGTTAAAGCAATGTGGGTGGATCGCATGTTGGGTCGCGGGTGGGTTGCGGGGTGGGTCGCGGGGTGGGTCGCGGGGTGGGTCGCGGGGTGGGTCGCTGGTGGGTCGCGGGGTGGGTCGCGGGTTGGGTCGCGGGGTGGGTCGCGGGGTGGGTCGCGGGGTGGGTCGCGGGGTTGGTCGCAGGGTGGGTCACGGGGTGGGTCGCAGGTGTGTCACGGGCGGGTCACGGGGTGGGTCGCGGGTGGGTCGCGGGTTGGGTCGCGGGTTGGGTCGCTCGGTGGGTCGCGGGATTGGTCGGGGTGGGTCGCGGGGTGGGTCGCGGGGTGGGTCGCGGGTAATTTGCGGGGGGGGGGGGGGACGACGACAAGAACAACAACAACAAGCAGAATCCTCCCCGCGGATCCCCACTTCAGCCACGCACCCGGGAACAAAGAAGGAGCGTTTGGCCCTCTCGCTCAGATATGCCGTAGCACCCCGCAGTTGCGGATAAGAGTGAGGGGGCGGTGAGGACGTCGTCAGTCTGCCAGGCTCTGAAGAAGCCCGCCGCAGGCGCCTAACTTTTACATATGATGCAGTGAGCCCGCCGCAGGCGCCGATTTCTTCGTCAAAGCAATGTGTGTGGATCGCGGGCCGGATCGCGGATGGGTCGCGGGTGGGTCGCGAATGGGTGGCGGGGGGGTCGCGGGTGGGTCGCGGGGTGGGTCGCGGGGTGGGTCGCGGGTGGGTCGCGGGGTGGGTCGCGGGGTGGGTCGCTGGGAGGGTCGCGGGGTGGGTCGCGGGGTTGGTCGCGGGGTGGGTCGCGGGGTGGGTCGCGGGGTGGGTCGCGGGTGGGTCACGGGCAGGTCACGGATCCAGGTCGCGGGAGGGGTCGCGGGTGGGTCGCGGGGTGGGTCGCGGGGTGGGTCGCGGGTAATTTGCGGGGGGGGGGGACGACGACAAGAACAACAACAACAAGCAGAATCCTCCCCGCGGATCCCCACTTCAGCCACGCACCCGGGAACAACGAATGAGCGTCCAGCCCCCTCACTCTGATATACACACGCACACACACACACACACACACGCACGCACGCACGCACGCACGCACGCACGCACGCACGCACGCACGCACGCACGCACGCACACACACACACACACACACACAGACACACAGACACACAGACACAGACACACACACACACGCACACACACACACACACACACACCGGGATACAGGGGCGGGAGGGCCCTGCCTGGTGCATCGCGTCGCCATGGGTGCCCCGTGCCTCTGGGAGCCGTTCCGGAGGGGTTTCCGGCCAGGTGCCTCTCGTCGCCATGGGTGCCACGGGCCGTTGGGAGCCGTCCCAGAGGGTCCATGGCCAGGTGCCTCGTGTGGCCGTGGGCGCCCTGGGATACCCCACCCACCAACCAAGCAGCCCAAGACACCCACGAGAGCCTCCAGGCAGCCCCGGATGCCTCCAAGATGCCCCCAGAGGCCGCCGAAAGCTTGCCCAAGAGGCCCCAAGGGCCAAAAGGGCCCCCCCAGGATGACCCCAGGATGCCCCAAGGGCCGAAACCCCTGCATCTTACGATGGTCGTTGATGGATTCTCAGGAGTGCGCGTGTCCCGCTCCGGTGGAATCCGAAACGGCCCCCGACGCCCCCGAGTTCGCTCCGAGACGGCCTGGGAACCTCCCAACACGGCCCAAACACAGCCCCAGGGGTCCCCCAGACCTCCCACGAAGCCGCCAACCAGCCCCTCAGACCTGCCCAACACGATCCAAGAAGCCCCTCCTTGCTAAAATAGCAGCCCAAGACAGCCTCCAGACAGCCTCCAGACAGCCCCAGATGCCTCCAAGACGCCCCACAAGCCGCCGAAAATCTGTCCAGGAGGGCTACCAGGGCCGCATTCCATGCATGTCACGAGGGTTTTGCAGGATTTTCACGAGCGCACGTGTCCAGCTCTGGTGTACTCCTGAACGGCCCCCGACGCCTCCCACTTCTCTCCGAGGCGGCCCAGGAGGCCCCAACACGGTCCGAAAAGAGCCCAAACCCCGGTGGAGGATGGAGGAGGAGGGCCCCGGCCTTCCCCCCTTCCCCCTCGGAGCTGGGCAGCACTCCGCGTTCTCGCTTCGTGTTCTCGCGCGCCGCTTCTCACGCCCGCCTGCCTCGCCTCTCGTGCTTCGCCCCTCCTCGCCCCCGCCCTCCTTTCCGTCCCCTTTTTCGCAATCCGCCCTCCCTTTCTCCTCCCAACCTCCCTCCCTTCTCCTCCTCCTCCTCCTCCTCCTCCTCCTCCTCCTCCTCCTCCTCTTGCTCCTCCTCCTCCTCCTCCTCCTCCTCCTCCTCCTCCTCCTCCTCCTCCTCCTCCTCCCCCCTCTCCTCCCCCCTCTCCTCCTCCCCGCTTTCTCTGTGGAGCCTCCTCCCGGTCCCTGCTTCCCGTCCCCCTCCGCCCCCCCCCTGCCCCCTCCCCCCCTCTCCAAGCCCCCCAGGCAGGCTCGGCACTCGAGGGCTCTGGCCCAGCCTCGCGTCCTCGGAGGGGGGTCCGCTGACGCTCCCTTGCTCGCATTACCTATGCGGCGGCGAACGAAACACTCTACCCCATGCCCTGTTGTGCGGGCTTGTTCCACAGCCTTCGGCTGCCGGGGCCGACCCCAGCTGTCCGTTAGTATTGGAAACTCACACATGCACCAGGTTCGGCGGCTCGTTTCTCCTCCTCTTCCTCCTCCTCCGCTTCCTCCTCCTCCGCCTAAACCTCCGCCTCCTCCTCCGCCTCCTCCTCCTCCTCCTCCTCCTCCTCCCCCTCCTCCTCAATTCATTGCGTACCCTTATCCCGACTCCGACTATTGCTTGCGATGGCCCATTTCCATCCTCCCACCCGTTTCTCTTGTTGCCACTCATTTTCTACATTGTCCTTCCCTAGTCCTAGGCTTGCATAGTTCGCGCAAACATGCAAACAACTGGAATCACCACACCTTCCTAAGTCCTACTAATCATTCAAGCAGCTCGACAGGGAATCTCCTCCCAAAGAGGGCAGGGGTCAGTGGTCGCGGTTACCATGACACAGACTTCGGTTGTCGACCAAAGAACACATCTCTGAGATGTGTTGAAGCGTGACCAAACTCCGGATTCTAATTTCTAAGTTCGCGGCGGTCGACTGGGGGGAGAGCCGTCCTTTCGTTTTGAAAAGATCGCCCACGTTTACAAGACGCGACCTGCGCTCAAATCTGTACATCGAAATCTCGCGCGCGGGGGAAGGCGTCTCCCTGTTGAAATTCCTGGACGTGCGGATTTTGTCGAAAACGCCCGCGTTGCTCTTGATGCCTCCGTTCCCCTCCCGCGCCGTTTTCCGGCTCCCAGACATCCGGCTGCTCCAATTTTTCGATGCGTGGGCCACGGAGGCTTGGATCACCTCCCTAAGCAGGAACGGCTTTGCGTCCCCGGCTCGTCTTCTGACGCTCCCGCGAGGCCCGGCGAGGGCACCTGGAGGCAGGAAACGGCTTGTAAAACTTGCCGCTCCCAAGTCTTTTTGGAGCGTCGGATCGCTGAAAACTCCCGCGAACTCCTCCCGCCGGCGCCCCTATCGAGGCCGAGTGCCGCCGGCTGTTGGCGGGCCTGGCCGAGCCCAAGCAGTGGCCGCTGCGGCTGGCGGTGAGGCTGCTGAAGGACCGGGCGGCCTGCCGGCCGCCCCCCTCGAGGGAAAGACTGCGATGGCCATGACCGGCAGCTGGAACATATACATTACCAGTGGCGGGCTCCTTTTCAATCCCAGGACTTCTTGAGGGTCGAGGACGACGCTGGGGTGGTGTGGTGTACACTTGTTTCCCCGTTGTCCTGGGGAAATAACAAAACATGTACACACCAGGGTCCCGTATACACCATGATCCGCTCTCCAGTGCAATTTCCAATGCAAGGCCGGAAGAAGCGTCGGTGTTTAGAGTTCGATTCCCTACATGACCATGGTGTTGCGGGACCTCGTCGACGGTCGCAGGCCTAGAGGTTGACACCAACACCAAGATCGGCGGTGTGCCTCCACCGAGGGGAGACGATCCCGATCTCGGTGATGGTGGTCACATTCTGGCTTCCAAGGTGACCGAGAGATTACCACCAACACCGAAATCCAGGATCATCTTCCCCATGTGGAGGCAACCCCCTGTGCTAGTGTTGGTGCCAATTTCCAGGCCTCCAAGACGGCGATCTTGGTCAGAGGTCCATGCCCAGAGATCCGACGCGTTCAACAAAGTTGGAGCGGGCGGCTCTTTGCCGTTTTCGGCCTCCGGGGGCCCTTGCCGGGCCTCGAGGCCGTCAAAGACCGACCTGGGACGCAAAACCGTCCCGAGGGAAGTGGTCTGGTTCTCCAGGGCCCACGCATCGACAAAAATCGGAGCAGCCGGATGACTGGGATGGTGCCGCGGGACCTTGTCGACGCCGATTTTGATCAAGGGTCCATGCCGGCTGCCGCCGACTCGCGAGGCTGATCCACGACTTGGCGATAGCTAAGATCGGACGGGGCTAGGACGAGGAAGAATCCGTCCCAGAGCGTTCCGAAACGCTCTCAGAGCGTTCCGGAATGCTCTGGGAAGACCGCGGCGCTTGATACATCCTCCAGAACCGCCAGGTCTGAGAGATTCTCGATTTATCCTCACCCGATTTGATCCTCGTCCTGGCTTCGTCTTTAAGGAGGGGAAAAACACACAGACCCAATTAATCGTCGATTCCCAGAAAAATATAGGAAAATATGGGAAGTGGAGGGGAAGACGAACACCCCCCAAATATGGGAAAATATGGGGAATCTTTCTTTTTGTGTATTTATTCAAGACGCTTCGCGTTCACCGCCCGCCCATTCCAGTTCTCGCCGGACGAGGCGAAGACGGCTCCATGACGGGATAAACATAGGCAGGAATTCATACCAGTCGTGTGCTTTGTTGTTTTTGTCCCGTGTTCTCTCTTCCTATGCTATCGCCTACTATGCTCAGGCATGCCCCGTGGCTGTTCGACAGTAGGTTTGTCGTACTTGCTACTGTTGGTGGTGGTGGTGCTGCGGCTGGTGTTGCTGCTGGTGTTGCTGTTGTCGCTCCTGCTGGTGGTACGGTGCAGTGCGGGTGCCGCTGCTGCTCTTGCTGGCGATGGTGCTGATGGTGCCAGTGTTAGTGCTGCTGCTGCTGCTGCTGCTGCTGCTTGTGGTGCGCTTGTGCAGTCGACTGATCCGATGGTAGGGAAGGCGGCATGCTCCCGTGGTGGGCTTGTGTCATACGGTGGCGTGGCAGTCTCGTGGTTTTGTCGCGCTTGCGCAGTCGATTGATCCGATGGCAGGGAAGGTGGCTCTTGGAGTGGGTTCTCCAATGGCTGACCAGATGACTGGCCCGTGGCGTGCCGTGGTAGATGTCTGGGTGCTTGTCCCGACGGTTGCCCGGATTCTTTTCCCGTTGCTAGTCTCGGCGGTTGCCCGAGCGGTTGGTTGACCCGACGGTTGCCCTGGCGGTGATCCGGCCGGCAAGGCGCCAAGAAGGGCCGAAGAGGAACCCGAAAAGGGCCCAAAAAGAGGCTAAGAAGGCCCCGAGGCGGTCTTGGAGAAGCCCAGGGCGGCTCAAACGACAGCACTTCCGCGTTGAGTCGCAACCGCGTCCGTCTTGCAGTAAAAACCGGGCGGGGTTTGACTTGGTTTGGGGTCCGTTTTGCGGCCCAACATGGGCCCCGCAGCGTCCAAAATGGACCCCGGAGCGCGCCCAAAAACGGCGAACAAAGGGAGTGATGAAAAATGACGCACGCGAGCCCGGAAGTCAACTGTAAGCAGCGTCCTGGACAGCCCCGGGGAAGCCGAAATCAGGCCAAAACCATAGTATTTGTCATTTGTTTGACATCCCTACGTGTCGGCGAGAATGAGCCAAAGAGGCGATCTCGAGGGCTCTGGGAGCGGACCTTGGAGGCCAAGAAGGGGCCCCGACGGGGCCGAAATGGAGCCCACAGGCGTCTGGCAGCGTCTTCAGAACGATATCCAGATCGAGCTTGTCTTGGACGCCGTCGTGGAGCCGTTTTGGAAACCGAAAAAGGGTATTGCCGCAGCCGGGCGGCGGAATGGCGGAGGCCTCTGGGGGGGGAAAAAGGGGGGGGCTAAAGCTTTCTGTAATTAAATCTCACACGCCCCTCAGCCCGGTGGGCGGGCGGATTTAATCGCTTCGCTCATTCCGCCGGCCCGTATTGTGCCCTCACTGGCGTTTGGGCTTTTGGGGGCCTTTTGGGGTCCTCGTTGGGGGTTTCTTGGGGGCCTCTTGGGTTTCTGTTGGAGCCTCTTTGGGGTTTCTTGGAGCTCATTTGGGAGCATTTGGGAGCATCTTGGGGCTTCTGGGCGCCGCTTGGGGCCGAGGGCTCGATGTGTCCGTTCCGGTTCCCACTTTGGGCCTCCTCTTTGGGCTGTCATGGTGCCGTCTTGGGCCGTGTCGGAGGCCTCTTGGGCCGTCTTGGAGGTCTCTTGGGCTGCCTTGGGCCGTCTTGGAGCCCTCTTGGGCCGTCTGCAGGCCCTGTCGGAGGCCTCTCGGCCTCTTAGGGCGATCTTGGGGGCATCTTGGGCCGTATTGGGGCCTCGCGACGCCGAAAAGGTGGAAACGCCAAAATCTTCCACAAACCGGAGGAAAAGCAATGAATTTTGCCTCTTGGGGCCCTCTTGGGAGTGCTCTTGAAAGCCTCGTGCGGCGTCTGGGGGCTATCTTGAGCGTCTTGGAGAGATCTTGTGGCATCTCGGACCCTTGGTGTACCATCTTGGGGGCCTCTTGGGCGCGTTTGACTCTTCTTGGGACTCTCTCTTGGCCCTACTTGGGATTCTCGGGGACGTCTCGGGGCCTTGTTGGTGCGCTCCTGGAGCGCTCTGGGGGCTTCTCCCAGGACCTTGCTGGGGTACTTTTCGTCCGGGGACCCCCAGGGGCCGCCCCGCGCGCGCGAACTAGAAATACTGTGAACCAGTTACCACAGATCTTAGCACGTCTCTGGCCCGTTGGGCCAACGAATTTGTGTGTCCTTGGGCCCCCTCAGTCTTGCTATGACCATGATCGACCGCCTCGGCTCTCGGCCCCCCCGCGAGAGAGAGATTGGGAGAGTCATGGGCAACACCGGGGGGGGGATAGGCTCAGGGGGGAGGTTGCATCGACGCCCAGTCGCCCACTGATCCCAGACCCCCTCGAGTAAGAACAAAAATCACGACGGAAGGTTTTTCACTATTCTCGGCCTCTGGGGGCCCTTACCAGGCCTCGGGACTGAACACCGATTCGGGGTGAAACGCCAGTCCCAGGGGAGGGGTCCAGACCTCGGGATGTTCGACGTAATGAAGAAGTCATTTGGGGAGGTTGCATCGGCGCCCAATCGCCCATTGATCGCCGATAGGGGCCCGACAGCCCACTCCGTCTGTCAGGGGCCTGTCGTCAATGTGCCGGCGATGTGTCACCAATTCCAGGTGGATGTTCCTCCACGTCAGCCGGTCTCTTCCCCCCCAGCGGGTAGAGGGAAGCAATTTGTGAACACCCCCCCTGCCCCACAAACTCAAAGTTGGCACGCGCGGGGGAGACTGCGGTCGAGGTGCAACTCATCAGACCCACCGCCAATTTTGAACATTGTGGGGAGGGGGAGGCGTTCACAGATGAATGAGTGTTCGCTATTTGTTTCCGAGGCCTGACGCTCCCCCTCAAGGGAGCCGCGTGGAGGAGGCCAGTGGGTACAGCGGCGGCCCCCCTTGTGTTTTTGCTGTCCTCCTTGGTCCTTCCGGAGGCTTCCCCTCGTCACGGCCAGGTCCGCCGAAAAGCTGGTCGGTGTGGACGCAGGGAGGGGTCCAGGGGGGAGGAGGAGGAAATGGAGAAGGAGGAGGAAATGGAGAAGGAGGAGGAGGAGGAGGAGGAAGAGGAGGAGAAGGAGGCGGAGGATGAGGAGGAGCAGGAGGAGGAGGAGGAGGACGAGGAGGAGGAGGAGGACGAGGGCGAGGAGGAGGATGAGGAGGAGGACGAGGAGGAGGACGAGGAGGAGGAGGACGAGGAGGAGGAGGAGGAGGAGGAGGAGGACGAGGACGCGGAGGAGTGGGAGGAGGAGGAGGAGGAGGAGGAGGAGGAGGAGGAGGAGGAAACAGGGAGGGGTCCAGAGAAGGGACGGTTTTTGGAGCGGAGGCGTGGGCGCCAGGTGGGAGAGCCGCCGCTGTCTCGACGGGCCCTCCCCCAAGCCACTGCCCCCGCGGGAAAGAGAATGAGAGAGAGAGAGAGAGAACCAGAGAGGGAGAGATCCTCCCCCTTCTCCTCCTCCTCTTCCTCCTCCTCCTCCTCCTCCTCCTCCTCGTCCTCCTCTTCCTCCCTCATCCCCCCTCCTCCTCCTCCCCCTCCTCCTCCTCCTCCTCCTCCTCATCCTCCTCTCTCCTCCTCCTCCTCCTCCTCCTCCTCCTCCTCCTCCTCCTCCTCCTCGGACGAAAAGGGGTGGTTGATGACATCTTGCTTGTTGCAAGAGGAGGCACGACATCCTCTGGATGCAGCTGGGTTCAGCCCCGCCGCTAGGCACGCGAGGCTGCCGAGCTCGAGGAGAAGCGCCTGGATGGAACCGCAGGTCGTCGGAGGTCTGGGCTTCTGCGCTCCGTGTTGGCCGCGGGTCGTCGTCTTCCTTCCCCCCAGGGATCGGCCATGCGTAAGGACGACCTTCCGCAGGAGGAGGAGGAGGAGGAGGAGGAGGAGGAGGAGGAGGAGGAGCGGCCGGAGTGACGGTTGACGCGGGCCCACAGGGGTCCCCCCAGCCAGCCTTTGGTTGTCGCGCTCGGATTACCGTACTTGGATTTGGCCCCCCACGCGGCCCCCTTCAGGCCGCGCGCCACAGGTCCACTCTGGCCTATAGGGTCCCTCTTGCACGCAGCCGAGGGTCGGGCCGGACGAAAGGCGGGGATGGGGAAAGGAGGGTTTGCGAAATCTGTCTGCTGCACGCAGCTGGTTTCGGCCCCGCTGCTGGGCCCACTGCTCGATGCATGGCCTCCCCGCGCCAGGAGGCGCCAGGAAAATCAGCTGCGTGAGCTGATTGTCTACCCTGCCATCTGCTATCCTATCCTTTCGTCTCCCCCGAGACCCATGCATCTGGCTGCTCCACTCTTCTCGATGCGTGGGCCCCGGAGGTATAGGGCCGGTTTTTCGTCCCGTGCCGTTCTTTGACGCGCTCGAGGCCTGGCGAGGGCCCCGGAGGCTAAAAACAGCCAAACATTGGGCTTCGAGTCATGGGAGGGGCGAGACATTGGGGGGCAGCGGGGGCTGCAGGGCCCCTCTATTAGGACCCCCTGCAGGAGCCCTTTCGGGCCCCAAAGGGGGCCTTGTAGGGCCCGAGGAGTGCACCTTTCTCTCCCCCCTCATCCATCGCCCCCCATGAGAATTCGCGCCCAAGACAAGCCGCCCGCTCCAATTCTTTGGTTCGGAGCGTCAGAGATCCGGGGAGGAGGAGGAGGAGGAGGAGGAGGAGGAGGAGGAGGAGGAGGAGGAGAAGGACAGGGAGGAGGACGAGGAGGAGGAGGACAGGAGGAGGAAGAGGAGAGGAGGAGGAGGGAGGAGGAGGAGGAGATGATGAGGACGAGGACGAGGGAGAGGACGAGGAGGAGGAGAAGGGGGAGGAGGAGGAGGAGGAGGAGGACCACGAGGACGAGGAGGAGGACGAGGAAGAGGAGGACGAGGAGGAAAGGCGAGGAGGAGGGAGGCCTCGCCCCGCCGCGAGGAGCACAACGACAGGGTCTCCCCCTGGGAGGACTACCTCGGCTGCGCGGCCCTGCGCCCGGCGGCCCCGCTCCTCTGGAGCGCGCAGCAGGCCCCGCCACGCCCGCGGCAGGGCAAGGTGGGAGGGGCAGAGGGAGTGAGGATCGGAGAGGCCTACGGAGGACGAGGAGGAGGACGAGGAGGAAGAGGAGGAGGACGAGGAAGAGGAGGAGAGGAAGAAGGAGGAGGGAGGAGGAGGAGGAGGAGGCGGAGGAGGAGGAGGAGGCGGGAGGAGTGAGGAGAGGAGGAGGAGGAGGCGGAGGAGAGGCGGAGGAGGAGGAGGAGGAGGAGGAGGAGGTGGAGATGGGAAGGCGAAACGCCGCCACCCCACACGCGCACTTTGGGGGGGACGTGAGAAGGGGAAGGCCTTCTCAGAAGGCGGCGGGACTTATCAGAAGCCCTCGCGCCTTCTGAGAGGGTGTACTTTGTCATCTTCGGGGAAGACTTCGAAAACTTCTCAGACCTCTGGGGGACTTCTGCGCCTTCTGAGCGGGCGCGCCGCTGCTCACTTTTCCCCGGGGCGCGCCCGCCGCCTAAAGGAGTTCCCTCTCCTCCTCCTCCTCCTCCTCCTCCTCCTCCTCCTCCTCCTCCTCCTCCTCCTCCTCCTCCTCCTCCTCCTCCTCCTCCTCCTCCTCCTCCTCCTCCCCCTCCCCCCTCTGCCTCCTCCTCCTCATCCTCCTCCTCCTTCTCCTCCTCCCGCCCCTTCCTCTCCTCCCTCCTCCTCCTCCTCGTCCTCCTCCTCGTCCTCCTCCCTCCTCCTCCCCTCCCCTCCTCCCTCCCCTTCCCTTTCCTCTCCTCCCTCCTCCTCCTCCTCCTTCCTCCTCCTTCTCCTCCTCCTCCTCCTCCTCCTCCTCTCCTCCTCCTCCTCCTCCTCCTCCTCCTCCTCCTCCTCCTCCTCTCCTCTCCCCCTCCTCTCCTCCTCCTCCTCCTCCTCCTCCTCCTCCTCCGCCGCCGCGGCCGGGCACGGCCCCCCGCGGCGGCACTTCTTTGGGGGGCGGGGCCCGGGGGTGGGGGAGCGGGGAGGGTTCCTGGAAGCGCCCCTGCCTCTCAGAAGGCGCGGGCCTCATCCAGAGAGAGTAGGGCCGGCGCCTCCTGAGCGGCAGCCTCCGTCCAAGAAGCCTTCCCCGCTCCCCCCCTTTACCCCCTCTGCGCGTGCCGCCAGAATTGGGCACTCGATTGCACGGAGGGGGAGGCGGAGGAGGAGGAGGATGAGGAGGAGGAGGAGGAGAAGGAGAAGGAGAAAGAAGGGGAGGAGGAGGACGAGGAGAAGGAGGAGGAGGAGGAGGAGGAGGAGGAGGAGGAGGAGGAGGAGGAGGAGGGGATGGGGAAAGGGCGGGCTGCACGAAAGCTGCTGCCTGCAGCGGGGGTCGGCCCCGCCGCTGCGCGCTCTCCTCGATGCGCGGCCGCCCTTGCCGAGTCCGATTGTGCAGGGGCTCCTGTGCGCGGGGAGAAATCAGGAGAGGAAAAAGCACACAGACACAATGAATCGTCGACTCCCAGGAAAAGAGGGGTCAAATGGGAAGTGAGGGGGAAGACAAAAGCCCAGAAAGTATGAGAACATGTTGAGAATCCTTGGATTTGTGTGTATTTATGTGTGTGTCCCAGGGCCCCTTTCAAGAATGGCTTGGCGTGCCCGAGGGCAAGCGGCACAGGCAGCAGCGGGTGCACGAGCAGCAAAAGCGCGAGCAGCCACTTATCCCTAGATCGGGCGTGTCCCTCTACATGGGGAATGTTCAAAAATAATCCAAACTAGTCCGTGGGCGATTTTTCGAATATTTGTCCACCAGTTTTGAATATGTTTTGGCTACTTTGTGCACTTTTCGTCCAAATTGCGCCTGTAGGGGGACATGCCCCCGACCTGACACGTACCCCGCGGGCCGGAGCCCTGAGGAGGCCATATCAAGCCTTGACGCCGGGGGGGCGCTGGGAAAGTCAGCTGCGCGAGCTGGTTCGCGAACTCCCAGTCTCCGTGGGCCCCGTCGGAAGCGGGGCGGCGCCTCCCGAGGCGAACGAGCTGCAGTACGCCCGGGTGAAGCTTGAGCTGCTGGACGCGCCGCGCTGCTCCTCCCAGCGCCCCTTTCGCCAGGAGAGGGAACTTCCGCACGGACGCAACCCATCGCCGATTCCCAAGAAAGTATGGAGATTCATGGGAAGATAAGGGGAAGACGAGACTTTGGAGAATATGGGGAATCCTAGGATTTGTCTCTGTTTATTTGTGTGTCCCTGGGCCCCTTCATCTTCCGACCCTCTCCGCGTCCCTTGCGCTTCTCCTCCGCCCCCCTCGGCGAGCTCTTGCCGTGCCAGCCTACCGCCTGTCCTCCTGCCTGCCTCCCCTGTCTCGTCTATCCTGCTCTCATCCCTGCGGCTTCTCAATGGCTTTTTTCTCCACTGCCAGCCGCTTCCCCGCTCCCCATTCCTCTGCCCCCCCCGCACCCTCCTCTTCTCCCACCCAAAAAACACCCGACGTCACGATGTTGCGCGACGTGTGCACCTGATTCCTCGCCAGCATTCCAGGGACTAGTTCTGGCCACGGATCGCTTTTCATTGACGCGGGGTCCAACAAGGACAGGCCCTCAATGGCCGACAGCGTGGACAACGTCTGACGTCATGATCTCTTCGCCACGGTGGAGGACCAGGCCCCTTCCTCTCGCCCGCCCCCCGACTTTATTTAGGCTGCAAGCCCTGCGAGATTTAATTCAGCATCGGCGCCAGTGCTTCCTTAGACATTCCGGCCGAGTCCAGCGCAATCCAGCTAAATCCAAGCCCGTTTTACTCGGTGTTCTCCAGTGCCTCGTTTGGTTCAATCTGGCTTAAAGGACCCTTAATCGGGCTCGGTCGCCCTAATCTTGGTCGTTCCCACGAAGACCTCTCAGGAGATGCGCCCTGACCCGCCCTCGCCCATCCTGTTCTGCCGTCTCATCGCCAGCCCTCCCATTTCGATCAATCCGATTCGATATTGGTTCCATCCAACCCGATCCGATTTGATTCCGATATTCCGGTGCGGGCCGATGTTTGCATGGCTCTCTTGTGCATCTTGGCGCGGCCGATCCGAATCGAATTCAACTCGGTGGCGACGCAGGCCAATCCGAAAGACATGTCGATTCGATCTGATTTCTCGATTTGATGCTGACTGATCTTGACCCCCCCCCTCCTGCGGCAAGGAGGAGAGGGTCGGGGTGATGGGGGCGCGGATGAAATCAGGAGCGAAACAGCAGCGGTCGCGCACAGGAACCACATGTCGTTATACATGATGAGTGCATGACGCGAGCATTCCCAGCACCAGGGTGTCCTCGCGAACTGGGGGTACTTCCTTTCTGGGGAACTCCCTACGGAGGGGGAGGGAGAGTAAACTTACGTCGAGCCTGTCCCCCTACAGAAGGGATGTTCAAAAATAGTCAAAAAATAGTCTGGGGACTATTTCTTGAGTATTTTTTTCACCATTTTGGGTCATTTTTGATTTTTCGTCGCAGGTCCCTCTGTATGGGGGACAGGCCCGACTTCATTTTCGTGATCCGGGGGCCCTCGGCGGGCACCGGGACCGTCAACAGAAACGTCTCGGGAGGACAGGCTGGCCTCCCCAGAGGCTCCAGATCTCGGGAGGTCCACGCTGCGCCAACACGAGTCACGACGCCGGGGTTTCAGAGGGGAGAGGGGGGGAGGGCGGTGCGAGGTCAGGGGGAGGTGGGGCGGGCAGGGGGGGCTTTTCTTCCGCTGCGCCAGTGGGGGCTCCAGGATATCGCAGGCCTGGAGGTTGACACCAAGACCAATTTCGGCGGTGTGCCTCCACCGAGGGAAGACAAGCCAGAATATTATCACCATCACCGAGATCGGGATCATCGTCCCCCTTTGGAGGCAGCCCCTGTGTTGGTGCTGGTGCCCATTTCCAGGCCTCCAAGGATAGGAGCTTGCGTGTGGTTTGTGCGTCCAGAGGCTGCGTGCCTCAAGTCAACCGCTGTGCTGGTGAGCGCGTCCTTGCAGCAGCTGGGCACACATATCCCGATAGGAGGGAACCAGACCGCCAGCAGGTGCCCCCCGGGAGCTCCTTGTTCAGGAGCGACAAAAGGACGTACACGTACATAAATCCCTTGTCCTCCTCCTCCTCCTCCTCCTCCTCCTCCTCCGCGTACGTCCTTTGTGGGCTCCCTACTTGTCCCCCACCCAGGGACCCGCAGGCCTCGGTGCCTTTTGAAGGAAGAGCAGCAGTGGAGACCGAGCGTGCTCCAGATCCCTCTCGCTGCAGCGTCTCTGGGCGATCCCCTCGGCGATTCGGGGCCCTCTCTGACCGTCTTAAGGGGGATCCTTGGGGCCCCCTTGGCTCGCTTTGGGGCCATCTGTTCCCCATGGCGTGTTCGTGCCGGGATCGCCCCGGGCCCAGGGGGGGCTCAACTTCTCCGTTTGGGGTCCGGGGGGGGGGATTCACGCCTGGAGACCCCAAGGGGCCGGCGGACTTCTCATTTGAGGAAGTTTCTATGGAGCTCGCGTAATCGCGACCCCCGGCGCGCGAGGAAGTGAGGCCAACATTTGCGCTTCCTGCACTGTCGCCGGCGAAGCTGGCGGAATCTGACGGACCCTTGCGCAGAATTCAAGCCCGGCGCCCTCGCTCGGGAGATCCTCGCAGAAATTGTCCCCAGCGCATCCCTGATCTCTGTATGCGTGAATTCCCGACCAACCGCAGAGCGGACGGCTGGCAGCAGGATCGAGGCAGTGCTCTGAGTCCCTCAATAGTTTTGGGCCCCCGGACTACAATGCCCCCCCGGAGTACAAGGGCCCCCCCCCGGGCCCGGACTACAAGGGCCCCCCCCCCCCCGGACTACAGGGACCCCCCCCCGGACTACAAGGGCCCCCCCCCCGGACTACAACTTTGCGATCGACGCAGAGCTGTTGGTCTTATGTAATTTGAGATGCATTTATACGTAAGTTATTTGAGCCCGTCATAAATTGGGAGCAAGTTGTCTATATTTGATTTATGTTCGGTTTCGGGCGCGGGCAAGCGATTCAAGTTATTGAAGTTATCGAAGTTGGGTTTTTCAGTTATTCAAGTTATTTTATAGTTGTGAATTGTAGCGTTTTTCGTGATCCTCCTCTTTTTTCCTCTCCGCCCTCCTCCTTCTTCCCCTTCCCCCTCCTCATCGTATGTCTCCTCCTTCCCATTGTGTCTGCACGCGCACGTCGTGATTCTGCAGTGCCTAGCGCTTTTTCACGGCTTCACAACTTCCACCGACACGCCAATTGCCATCCACGCAAGCGCCAACCTCAAGCCACCAGAATGCCAAAGGGAAGCGCCACCGATCCTGTCCCAGATTCCTGTGTGGTCGCCCAACCGACGGGATAATTGCATTGGTTCCACAATCACGTAGGTCGACGCACCCTCCGCGCAGCAGGCTTGGACCATTCCCAACTCTTCATCCCGAAACACGAAATCGCCGACAGAAATGTACAGACCTTCGGAAGCCAGGCGGTCGCCGACGAACGCCCCAGACGTCCCAGGCACAACGTCGGTCGGGCCAACGAGGCCTCTCTGGACAGGGGATTCGGACATGAGGTGGTCTGCATGTTGGTTGATTACGCCTGCTAGCACTGTCCGTTCATACGTCTGCGTCGGGGCTGATGCGGCAACTCGTTTGCAGCGCCTGTGCAAGCGCTCGATCACGAATGCGTCCAGGACCATATCAGACTCCTTGCAAAGAGGAATGGGGGTGGAACGTAAGAAGAGCAAGAAGGGGAATGGGGGTGGAACGTAAAAGGGGGTGGAGGGGGTGAGAGAGGTAGGTCCTCGAACTGACCACAGACGTCCCACATCCAGTGGGTTTTGGCCGTCATGTTATCCGAGCAGCCGTGGGCACGTTTGTGAAGCAACATGGACCTCCTCCAACCACTCCGCAGATCGTGAGCAGCCTGGCGCATTGGAATGATTGCTTTTTCGGCAGATAATATGATATCTACACAATAGCAACACGCCGTAAACGATTCCATGTACGGTTGCACGCTATCTATGCCATGAAGTCGAACCTCGAAGAAGCCTCGAAGCAGGCCGTAAAGAGCAAGCAACTGTGAGCAGCTAGCTTTGATATTGCCTTTTGTGTTTGCCATTCGTTGTTTACTGAATATTCGCCAAAGGTTAGCATAACACGATCGGCTGTGGCTGGGGAAGCACCAGCCGCGCTGCAAATATTCTTGCACTCCACCAGAAGCCACGTGGTCACTGCAAGCTTGCAGAAGAAGGTTCGCCTCGCGCAAAAGCGCGCCATCTTGCAACATGCAGTGCATCCAATCAAAGGCCAAGGACTGAAATAGGTCACGGCCGTGCACCCTCCACGCGGGGTCTGCCAATAGCCCCGCACGCGTACAACCAGCTCCAACCATCTCCCAGCTCCAACCATCTCCCCCGCATCAACTTTCTCTCGCGCCGCAATGATAGCGTCAACTGTGGCAAAAACGTCGCGTGCCTGCCAACGACGGAAACACGTGTGATCTTCGCAATCAAGCTCTACCCAACCGTCGCGCCGATGCGCGGGGCCACTGTGCATTGAGCACGTTGTAATGCCGAAGACACGGTTTCATCGAAGACGCGCCGTTCCATTCCCAAGCGGTTCTGTGTCCATCACCATCGGCCAGCATGTGGCGTAAACGAGCCCACAGCAGAAACGGTTGACCATTCAAGACCAGTGGTAAACCAGAAATTGCAAGTCCATCTACAGCAAACAATTGAAGATCCAAATGCACGCGTAGCATTGCTGACCAGCCGCCCATCGTTTCGTGAATCTTTGTAGATCGCACAACCACGGGCGTGATCCATGTCGTCTCGTGCCATAGCGCTTCTTGGCCGAGCTCAACGAACGAAGAACTTAATTGCATTGCTTTCTTCGTCTGGTCTGGGGACCTCGGGTCACCAGGGGAAAACTCGTCGAAACCAACGATGAGGTTCCACGGGGCCGAAGGCGAACATGGATGGGCACAGGCTGCCTTGGCAAACACATCGCGCAAGCGAGGGCACTCGCGTACGCGACGCGCGAGCAACGCATTTGGATGTGCGAATTCCCAGTCCCACGTGCCCCCGCTGACCATGTCAAGACTGCGAACATGTCTGACAGCGTAAAAATGCACCAAGTTCGTTTCTCGTACCAAGTGCGGCGTTGCTTCATTAAGGACGGATGGGTTCCTTTTCAGTTTTGCCAATATGCTTGAAAGCGCCCTATTCGTGACATTACAAGATCGCACAAGCCCAAGAAGTCCAGTGACCTTGCTCTCGTCACTATTGCCATGCCTTCTCAAGCGTTTCTCTGTCCGATTCTGGGCGTCTCCCATTTCCCCCTTCAGCCAAAACGGCTAGAACAGGACGCCCTATTTCCTTGCATCCCGCCTTCCCTCCCTCCTTGGGTCGGCGCGCAGAGCTCTCCCCCCCTGGCGCGCAGAGCTCGAGCTCCTCCTCCTCGTCGTCCTCCTCCTCCCCCTCCTCCTCCTCCTCCTCCTCCTCCTCCTCCCCCCCCCCCTCCTTCGGCCGCCGCAAAACCGACCATGTTCATTCAAAAATGGTAGGTTTCTGCCCGTTCCTCCTCCTCCTCCTCCTTCTCCTCCTCCTCCTCCTCGTGGTGGAAGCGTGACG